ATGGTAGTTGGAATAATGAATCTATGAAATGAACACATCACAACTCAAATTGTGGGTCAAAGTTGTAGCTCAAATGGACTCCTAAACACGAACTCCAATTCTAATTACAATTCAAATCAAGATTCTAACTCTAACCATAACTTTAACTCAAATTGTAAAATTTTGATCTGTGAAGTGAACACACCCTAAGAATGATCAAAATTAATTAAAAAAATTAAACTTTAAAAATAACTCATAACTAATTAATTATAAAGCACGATTAATAGAATATATTGTTTCGGAAACTTCAACTTTTAAATATTATAAACAAATCCCAAAAATTTATAAATTTCTCGAAGTAAAATCTTGGGTGAACGTCAATTAATACTGTAGCATCCGCTTAGATTATTATAATTAATTAAAAGGAATCAAGATAATTAGTGTGCTCGATCATGATTTAAAAATGATAAATTTGCGTTTAAAATTAAATTATGAGAATTTTGACTAAAATTGTGTAAATTTGTTTTTATTGATAGTGAAAAAATGCTGACACAACAGCATCCAAAGGCGGTCTTTTTTATGCCTTTCCTGCATTCCGCAATTTGCAAGTTTGAATTTTGATAGACTTGAAATTTTTTTTCAATGCACAGGGAGGGGTGTAAATGAAAACGACATCCATAAAATCTATGGCAAGTTTGAAGGATGAAACAAATACAAATCAAAAGATGAAAATCCTGTCAAAATTGCCAATACATTTGAGTTGGGTCCAAGCTGAAACATAAGGAATGAATAAAAAGCAGCTCAGCTTCCCGTCAGTCTCACCTATATCTTGATAACGATGATAGTCTAAAATAAACCCAACAAAAAAAAAAAAGAATGCGGCGGTAAAAACTCTAACGAATTGCTAAGCCTTGCATTGCCTGTGCGCCGTCTACGGTGATCTTATTGGCTTGAACGGTGCTGATAACATTTGCAACATTACCCTGGAAATGGAAACTTGGTCAATCGACTTATGCCATGAATAACAACTTCCATATCAAATATAACAGTGATAGAACTCATTTATGTAGACAATGAACTAAACCACTTCTTTTATCACAATTTAGACAGGCAACTAGATCTCTATAGCATATTAATGGAAGAAAAACGACTACAAAAAGAATCAACGAGAGCAGCTATTTACCTTCCAACTCGCTAGCTTTGTTCTGAGCACTTGCCACTGCCGTTGACCAAACACGCGATCAATACAACGGCTGCACATCAAAGGCTGACTACTTAGCATAAAAGCAAATATTTCGACAATTCAAAAATCTAACTACTGCATGCGAAAGAGCCATATTAAGTGAAATAGCACACTACCTCAACAGAAGTTTCAGAAAAAGTACATTTCAGTTGACAATTATTCTTTAAACTGATATAAACATACCTTTATGTTTATGCTCCCACATAATGACATAAAGGAGGAACCAAAGCTTACCTTACGATAACTACTTCATTCATCTGGTCCATTTTACAGTCAATTAACTTCGCTGTTATTGCCTTGACCACCCATAGATCCACCTCATCATCATTAATCTGCAAACAGATAATTTTTTGTATAAATGAACAAGATATGAATGCAGAAACAGAATTAGCAAAGTACAGCAAACAAACAAACCTGAAGTGTGTCTCTAATAAGACTATATGAAATTTGTCCAGATTCATCAGAGCCAAGATCGACCAATGACATCAATCTCATCTTAGTTATACAGTCTTCATGGATAAGACCTACCAAATTTCAGAAAGCATATTCAGAAAAACAATTAGAAATTCTTTTTTTTTTTTTTTTTTTTTTGAAATTACAGAAATTCACGTCATATAAAGAAAACCTCAACTCCCAAACTAAAATTTTACCATAGCTTTTCAGCAAAGTAGAATTTGCAGCTTGAAATTCCAAGTAAGCATCCAGCCTCTGAGTGAGAAAGATCTTCAGAAGCTGATATACTAGAGCATATTTAGCATCCTTCTCCAATTGACCAACAGCAGGCAGATCTAGCAAATCACACTGCAATTTAACATAACGGATCGATTATCTAAAAACACCATTAAGTAGGTAAAAAATTTACAGTACAAATACATTGTAATTGTAAATGCTCTCTCTAATTGTACAAATTGAAATTGTGTGAATTCATAGTTTACAATGCCACAAGTCCCCTGAAATCCGGAAACAATGAAGGAATAACAGTGCTCAAACTTTAAAAAAGAGTTTTAATGCTGCGACAAATCATATGGTATTCCTTAAGTCCGTTAAACTCTTGAAACAAAGAAGGGGGTGATGGTATTTGAACTTTAAAATAAAACGATCAAGTGAGGTTCCCCCGTCTTTCAAGACCTAAATATACTAGAATATTAAAAATAAGCACCAGTAAAATCATAGACAGAATGTGGCACGTCAAAGACTTGAAATTCTACCGGAAGACAAGATACCTCATACCTGAAACATGTCTGGAGCCTTCACAAATTCTACTATTGTGTGAACAGCTTCCTCCTTGGCTTCACTCAAAGTATATGCATCTTCACCAGAAAAGGTCGCCAAGTACTTGGTCAAGAATTTAAAGGATTCCTTTGCCGGGCTGAAATTACAAACAGCAGGTGAATCTCATTAATAAAGTACTCACAGCTAACGCAAAAAAAAAAAAAAAAAAAAAAAAAAAAAAAAGAAAAGAAAAGAAAAGAAAAAAGAAAAAAAAAATCTACACAAGAACTAAACATATATCAAAAGGCTTGCAATTCCATCACCTGAAGAACTCTTTCCACCGTACCTTTTATTTTCCTTCAAAACATTGGCCACAGTGAGAAATAGTTTCCTCTGATCTACAATTCCAATATTCCACTCTTTTAAGAAACTGTCTATCTTTTTAAACGAAGGTATGATATTTTCAGTGACCTTGCCATCAATTGCCAGATTTAGAGCCTTCATGTAAACATAGAATTGGCTGTATGGGTGGTTATCCAGTAGATTGTATAGATTGAACAAACTGTAAAAAGAGGTCAAATCTGAGAAAGTATCTTGAAGACTTAAAAGCTGAAATTATAATCGAATAGTATACTTACATTTTTAAACGCAATGCAGGCTTGTCATTAGGTTGTTGAGTAATCTTCGCAGATATAAGTTTTGAAATCTCAAGTGCTTCATCTGGACTTTCAGTCTTCGTAACAACATTGCAGATGATAGTTAAGATGCATTCAAGATCTGGAGTAGATACAACAAACAACAATTTTAATGAGTAATTTTGAAATATATATATATATATTTCTAGTCAGTAGTTACTTGTGAAAATGGGAATTCCATAAGGGAAAAAAAAAAAAAAAACAGAAATCCCACCGGCAGGACTCTATTTTCCATTTTGAGCTGTCAAAACTGTATCAGATTCTACCACTTTTGCATACTGTTTTATTTTAACATGACGGTTAGAAAAGTACATTACCAGTAGGAATACCCTATCATAGAAAGCTCCATCTTTCATTATCACTTCTAATCTCCTGCTTTTTTCGTCTCAAGTGTTTATATTTATGTTCTCACTCTTACTGTAGTACCATTCCTTGATACCCATTTTTCATAAAAGAAAACCGTACCTTTCTCAGAGACTTTCGAAAATATCACTTCAGCAGAAGTGAGCATCAGTGATACCAAATCGAACCACCTGCCCGCTACCACAAACTCCGAGGCTTCAACACATAGTCTGGAAACTTGTGGCTCAGCAACCTAATTCACGGCCAGGACAAAGGCAAATTTAGGCATACAAACATCCCAATTCTAGTTGCGGCTTTTCCTTCTTTCTTTCTTCCATAAAATAAAAGAATTAAAAGCACAATCCCGTTCACAATCACTATTTTCAACTAGTCATCCGAGCATAAATTATTAAACCATCCAAAAGAGATAAATAAATATACATCATTAAGCTATTACAAAAGGGAATTTCAACCAAAACCCACCTATTACTCCAAAAATCAATTCTTTAATAAATAAAAACCAGCAAATTTTATAGGAAATTCTAGCCAAACACAAAACTTTGTCTCTGAGAAGAAGAACAAGAGTAAAATTAGAACGAAATTCAGTCTTAGAATTTGATACATGCATAGTATATACCTATGTATCTAGGTGTATGTGTGTATATATATATATATATATATATATATACATATATACACACACACGCAGATGAAGGAGCAAATCGAAGAGCGGAAAAAATAAAGGAAGAAAGGGTACCTCAGGACCAGCGTCGGCCCAGGCGAGCTCGGAAGTGAATCGGACAACGGCGAGAGCGGAATCTTCTTCGGAGGTGGGAATGACGGTCGCCATTGTCGGAGCTCTCTCTGCAACTGAATTCTCTCTTCTTGTCCAACGACGCAGAGCAAAGCAGAGCAGAGAGGGCGTGAGAGGCAAGGAGATGGGAAAACCCTAATGAGCAAGATTGACAAGTTCTGTTTGCCTTTTTACTAGACGCCTATCACCGTCTATAATTTTCATTTATTCATTATTTTTTTTAACAAATTTATTTATTTATTTATTATTGTCTATAATTTTCATTTATTGAAGTAATTTATTAATAGTTTGTTAATTTTTTTAGGGACGTATTTTGTTAATTTGGATCATGCTTTCTTTTATAAAACATATATATTATTTTGAGAATTATGCAGCATGATGTTTAAAAGGAGATTTTTTATGGCAGGTTTGAAAAATAAACTATCTAAATTTTTTTGTTTTTAATCATTAGATCTACATTAATAACTGTTTGTTATGTTTTTTTTTTATTATTTTGATTTGATTTTAATACATTACTAATAAGAGGCCTTATGTATAAAAAGACGCATATTAAAAAATATATATAGAGAATTGTTGAACTTATCCTTAAAAGTACATGAGTTTTAATTTTTATCTTTATTTTTTATTAATACATTTTTACTAATATATTATTTGATTAAAAGAATATTAATTAAAAATAAATAGTAAAAATCTAAACTCGTAAATTTTAAGAGGTATTTATCTCCTTTATCTTTAAAAATACCATGTATTCTTTTTGGTAGACAAAATACCTGTTTGTAATATGAAGTTTTCAACAAAATTTCACTAAATTTTGTTGAAGACTTGAAGTTATATATATATATTAGTATTTGAAGTACTTCAAAAAAATCACGTTCCAATCCCTAAATTTAAGTTACATAATAATGTTTTCAGAAAACTTTCAAAAGCATATTATAGAAGTAGGAGTTAGAACAGTGGTAGAGTCATAATTCTTTTTTATTTCGAAGGGCATGAACGACAAAAAATTGTTAAATAAAGTTGTATCGTAACTATATTTTTTCAAACTCAAATTTATCTCTCTTTTTTTTTTTTACCTTTATTTATTTATTAGTATCTTTTTTTCTTCCAAATTAATTAATCTTGTACTAGAGTTTAATTTATCTTTTATATGTCTAGTGCCAAAAATTATGAATTTATTGTCAGTTAATATTTTTGTTTATTGACGGTTTTAGGTTTGAAGTAAAAGAAAAGTTAAGAGGTAAAATTTAGAGTATAACTGAAATTTTCTTTTTAAAATAAATCTATTCTATATCCATAATAATACTACAAGTAGAAAATTTACGGAAGAAAAATTAGGTTTTTTTTTTTTTTTTTTTTTTTTTTTTGAGGCAAAAGTGTGAGTAGCCCTTTGGCTCGGGGGCAGCTGTAGTTCCTTCCTTTGAGTTAGAATAAATGCTATTATTCTATTTACTTTAAAAATAGAACAGTACTCTATTTATATTTTTTGTGGATAAAGTAGTGCGTGTTTATTTGATTCAATATAAAACTACTCGTACAAAGTAGTGTAGACAAAACACACCAAATTTAGGGGGCTAAGCGTTGCTAGACAATGCGATGGCATGGGAATTTCTTTTCGCGAGCCTCAAAGGTTGCTGTTATATTACTGGTTACTTTGAAGCACTCTCCAAAATCTACATTTCTCTAGACCCTCTTTCTAAGGCCTCGTTCACTTTGCGGATTCAAGTTTTCAATTCAAACTGAGATGTGACATTTTCTGAGAATTTTTTATTGTAACAGAAAAAGTTAGATGTGATATTTTCTGAGAACCTTTTACTGTAGAAACCTAAAACTGAAAACTCGAATCGGTGAAATTAACGAGACCTAAGTGACTTCCAATGTGTTATGTTTGTGTGTGGCGTATAATTAAAATGAAATGTGACGACTCTTTTCTGATTGTAGTTAGATGCAAGTGCAAGAACGCAGGAAGTAGTTTGAAGAGGATGATATCTAGCAATATTTGATAATCCCACATCTTACATTATACATTGATCCATTTCAATCGCCACAGCCAACCATGTTCAAGCACAAATACAACAATAATGCACAAGGACATTGCGCGAATATGACGTCCACGCTTTTCAAATTCATCAGATCCTTAACTTTTACAAGTTTTCTAGAATTTATATGGATAACATATATGTGCCCAAAAACGAGTACTTGTTGCTGCGTTTCCTATGGAGGAGATGTTAGTTCCCACCACCACCACCACCACCAAACAGATAACCGAGAGATGATCCGCCACCAGGCGCGGCGTGAACCTTAGTCGACGGTCGATCCTGCACCAAAGATCGTCACTAGTTATGGTAAAGGAGGAATGTAAGAGATCTTTGTTACAAATAAGATAACTCATGGGGCAACAAAAAAAAACAGTAACTTAGAATAACAACACCACCGACACTCTCAATATCTGCATTCTTAGTACATGAACACACACACAGTATTCATAAATTTCATTCTAATTTTATGCAATACTGTATTAATATACGTAGATCTTCGCGTTTTGCTGATGTTACAAAGAGACCTTAATCACATTAAAGAAAAAATAAAGCAAACCCAACAACATAGTAGTCTACTTGTATTTTTGCACTCTAAACTTTCATACTTTTAAAATACACACCAAACTTTCAATTTTAACAAATTAATCTACCTTATTTTACGAGTGTTTTCAAATTGATGGTTTGAGATACAAAATATGAATGTCAAAGCTCATCATTTTTCAAACAAGGTCACGGGACTAGGAAATACCGTTATGAAATTTCCACAGTTCTGGCCATCAGCCCTAAAGTAGTTGTTTGTAGGACTGCCGTGAATTCCTGCTGGAATCTGCTTGTCAATTGAAGACTTTGGAGCAACAGCTGTTTTCTGAGGAGGAGGAGAAGCCTCGACTGGGTTCTGAGCAGCAGGAGCAGCAGCTTGGGTTTGGGCTTGGGCTTGGGCTTGGGCTTGGGCTTTGTTAGCAGGAGTCTCTCCACTTCCAAACAGATAGCCCAACGAACTCTGCCCCCCACCAGCGCTCACTCCACGGCCCATTTCTCAACCTGCAAAAACCAAACATTATAAGATAGAAATGTCTCTGATCTGATGTCTAAATCTGCAAGATATTTCATTCAGATTCAAGAAATGAAAGTAAATAACCCTGCAGCATCGGATCACACAGATTATCATCGAATATTTTTATATGACAGTAAGATTTGCATATTCTTTTTTTTTTTTTTGAAAGGAAAAAGATTTGCATAAGATTCAAAAAGAGTTTCAGGCATTAAAATCATACGGCATTGGAAAAAGGAAATACAGAAATTGAAATCAGAATACCCGGCTAAGAAAAGCGATATGCTTGCGTTATTGAAAAGAAAGAAAATGCGATAATGAGAAAAATGGATCTGAAATCTGAATCCTAAAGAAAATGAGTGAGATATGATCTGTTTTTGAATCAATACCAACCTCCTCCTCCTTGTTCTTGATCTTATGCTTCTGCTCTTCTTGGGACCAGATTTGGAGCGGAGTTCCAAAGCGCGTTGCCGTTGAGGAGCAATACTTGTACACCTAATAAACCATTTTTTTTTTTTTTACATTTTATAACAAATAACTTTTTTTGGTATACCAATAACAATAAATGACGAAGAAATCAAATGGAAAAAAAAGAATTATACGAAAAAAAAAAACTGAAATTCGTGATGGAGACCGGAGAGGGAGAGAGAGAGAGAGAGAGAGAGAGGACCAAGTTGTTTTTAGCCGGATTGAAGTGGTCAAGTCTGAGCTGGCCTTTTTTCTCGAATAAACAAAGTCTGAGCTGGCTTTTTCTTTTTTTCTTTTTTCTCTTTAATTTTTTTTTATGAGTGGTTGACAAAAATCGAAAACAAAAAGAGTTATGGGACGCACGTGGTTTTGGTTGTAATGATGGTGTTGCGAGTCTATACAGTAGAGTGGTGCCAAAAACACTGATCACTTGATCAATTGATCATTGATCAAACAAACGCCCGTAGCAAAATCAGTGTCAAAATGAAAATCCTTTCTTGTTTTGATTTTATTTTGTTTGGGATCCAAACATGAAAATAGAGAAAGAAAGAAAGCAACAAGACTAATATATGGAGGTAAGAATCTTATAAAGATAGTGGAGAGACAGTGAGTCCCATAACATTAACGGCACTTTACTTGGGCGTTGAGATTGGCTGGTTGCTGAACGCTGGGCGAAACTGGAAAGTGAGTGATGAGTATAACTCACTTAACAGATAACTCTAAGGGCATGTTCTTTTGTCTAAAAAATTCAAAAAAAGACAACTCAAGTTTTAATTTTATTTAAGTTCACGTGCTTTTAAGTTTTAATTTTATTTAACTTTACTCAACTTTATTCAAGTTACAACTTCAACTCAAGTTATAACTCAAATTTAACTCAAAAACTATACTTAAGTTACACTCTAAAAGAACAACTCCTAAGACTCTTATTGTGGAAGCCTTTTAAAGAGCTGTTAGTGTCCGATAGAACGTCTATACCTACCTTTATCTGTCTCGTGCGTAAAAGCTTTGGCGTATACGACTGTTGCACGCTTTCTTAGATTCTTTTCCTTTCTTTCTTTCTTTTGTTTGTTGACAGCTTATTTGTAGAATGAGCGGATGTTTAGTTCATAAATTTAAAATTATTCTTAATTTATGTATATTTTTTATGAGAAAAAATACTATAACGAATTATGAACCATAATTTAAATTATTATACGAATTCACTAACTAAACACACCATCAACTTTTAACAATTAAATTTAATTAAAATCACGTTAGATTAAAAAATATTACAAAACATACATATATAAATTTAATGGTTAAAAAATATAACTCTATCGATAATTAATTTTTTCCATTGTTTGGTTTTTTTTTAATGTAATAGTAGATTTCTTTAGTAGGCATTAAAATCAAAACAAAAACTCTGTACCGCATTCTTTGTTCATCTGCTGTAAGTATTGATAAGCTCCAAATACACATTATGGTGTTAAAAATAGAAAGGTTTAGACCTCCGTTAATCACACTTTTTAAATTGTGGGTATTTATTTCATTTATCCTGTTCTTAAATTGATAAGATTGAAAATGAGATAAGAGATTAGTTTTCCCATTTCCAGGTGTAAAATTGCAGCCCTGCTCATTTTGGCAGAAAAAAGGTGATCAACTTGATAAAGTTGCCGTTGCATTGTACAATTTCTTCAGTTGCGACTTTTGGTGCAATTTGCGAAATGGGAGTTTTTAAATAGCATGGATATGAATCGCTTCCGGGCAAAGAAAAAACAAAACCCCTTGCCCAAAACAAAACAGAGAGAGAGAGAGAGAGGCAGAGAAATACTAACATAATTTGTAATCCGACACAAATCACTACATGACAACATCGAATCCTATGCACATTTACATGTTTGCTTGCGCTCCTTCCTTGCAAGGTACCTGCATGAATTACTGATTGCTGTAGTGTTCCTATCAATGTCAGTGGGGGCTCTAGTAGGAGGAAAGACCCTCCAAAAACCAATCTAACTGGATAGTCTGTTTTTCATGCCGATGAAATCTTTGAGATCTCTACCAAAATCTTGTGAAGGGCTTGGGGCTTGGAGAAAAATGGCGAGTGATCAGCACCTTTTAGGCGGAACACTCGTTCAGGCGGGTTCGCATTTATCATGCTCTCCTGGAGTGTCAAAGGTACCGCATTGTCTTCTGGAGTTTCTATGTAAAAGCGCCTCACTGACCCATATTTCATGTCTGAAAATGAGAGCTTCTCCAAAACCGGGGCAAATGGTATGGGCCTCATTGAAACAGATGCTAATGCGATGTCCTTAACAGGAGGAAGCAGAAAGCAGTCAGCCAGAGTAATAATATTAAAAGAAGACACAGGATATAGACAATACAATATCCATGCATCCATGCATGGATAAATGTCGAAGAGATTTAACATGAAAACAAACGAATAAAAAAAAAAAAGAGTTCATAGTTCATACCTTGGAAGGACTTTGGTTAAACAGCAAATCCCTCAGCAGTGACTTATCTAGATCAATAGCAGTTGGAGGGCGATCATTTCCATTTGCATATAAAAATATCTGAGCCTGCCGCATTAGATCATCTGAACCAGCCTGCAATTAGCTTAATTTTTTTAGTAACAATCAACTAAGAGTTCATATTTTGGTTCAGAATCTTTCTATACAGAAATCATAACATGAAATTGTATAAAGCTGGATTAATTCTATTAGGATAGTGAGACTCTATGGGTATGTTTGGTAGTGATTCTTAGAGCCCAAAATTAATTCTCTAGTCATCCACAGTTAAAATTTGTGTTCGGTAAAAACTATAAAAAGCGATTCTTAAAGAATTTTTGAAGAATTTACAGTCAAAATTAAAAGTAGCCCAAATGCAACTTTGGCTTTTAAATTGTGTGGCAATCATCTTGAAGTACAATTAATGAAACTTTCATAATACCCACAATACCCCTAGAACCAATACTTGAATAATTACAGTTTATCAAACACTCAGCTGCTTTTTGTAATAGCTACTTTTTCTTTCAGCACAACTAACAATAATTTTTCTAAAATCTACAGCACTACCAAATTGGCCCTATATTTGCATTTTGTTAGCAAAAACAACATTGTTCATAAACCAAATTTTTTGCTTGTATTTGCATTAGCGTGTTTGCCTCTTTCTCTCAGCACATACAAGCATTTACATAAACCGGAGACAGTGGCCATAAACTCTTTATCAGGACCCTGCTCAAGCCCCAGCTTTTTCATTATGTTTTAAGCTTTTTACATATTATGGAAAAATTACAAATACATCGCTCGTATATAAGTTCAAAAATATAAACCGACTTGAAACCCTTCTGAACAGGATAAGGATCAAAACGCCAGCATAGTTGCAAAAGATCATAAAAGCTTCTACTAAGAGAAAGTATGGAAACTCAGTTCAGGAAAAAGAAGGAAACCTGTTGGGAGAACATATCTAGTGTACTCTGTCCATTTTTCAACATTGCGGCCGTGAGAAAAACTGCCTTTGAAATCTTCAGAGGAAATAGCTCCATTGCATATGATATACAAGATCCACCAAAATCATGCCCCACCAAGATCACCTGCACAATGCGAATAGGAAAGGTACAAACAGAGAGGTAAGCAATACACCCATTCCGCCAATTGCACAAGACTTCTACACCATTTTGCGTATACCAATTAAAAATAGCACATAAAGCAAACCAAATTACTAAAAATGATAATGCAAACAAACAAGTTGCTCCGTGCCATACATCTAGCTAGACAAATTTAGCAACCAATAAGATTAAAATAGGAAGAAGAGGCAAGGAAAATCAATGAATAAAGTAGTGGATCTTTTCCCCTCTCAAGTGAGTCAGGGAGGTGATCTGATAAACGCATTTCAAGCATTTCAACAAGAGAGAAACAAGGTGATGAGAAACAAAAATAGCTTATCTAGGAAACATATACAAATTCTAAAAAAATATTATGAAACTAAACTAAAACTACTTTCTATTTTATTATATTGGTCTCCCTTATACGCTATTCTTGTTCCTCATCACCAGGTTTCTCATTGCACAACATATGTTACAAACAGTCCAAGAAACAACCCTCGTAATCAAGCATCAAGTGGCAAAGCATCTTGTTTCTACCAAATTAAAGGAAGTTTGGCAGTTAACTAACCATTGGTCAAATACATATAGTAAAATACAGGCTGCAACAAAACCACAAATAAGAGACAATATAAGGTAGCAGGGGAACAAAATGGAGCTAATAAGAAAATACCTTCTCTTCCTCAGCAAGATTTTCAAGAAAATCAGTGAGCGGCTTTACATATTGTGAGAGGTTTGTAATGCTATTTGAATCAGACGAATGAATTCCGGAACCTGTCAAGTCTATGGCAGTAACTTTGAAACCACCTTCTTCTAAAAGCGCTATAGTTTTATACCAACACCAAGCACCAAATCCACCTCCATGAACAAGGACAAAATGGCTGGTTTCTAAGTCGTCTAGCTTTACATCCTGTCAAAAGAAAACTCAAGTATCTAAGCACCCTGTAGAATAAACAAAGATAGTAGCTGAGGAAGAATGAAGAAAAATGATTGACCCAATTCAGAAGTATATAATCTTTCAGAGGCCTCTTGAAAGACTGCGAACCACAAGGCAACATTTTATCTCTTGGTAAAGCCTACGAACTAACATCAAGACAAAATACATGAACTTTAGTCTTGCATCCTTTAAACATTTACATTTCAAAATCTGAATGAGATCAGATTAAGCAGGCAAAATTGTATTCCGTAATTTGATCATGATTCTCCTAATTCGACTAAGACCAATTTGTACTGATGTATATTATTGAATTCTATAAACTGAATTAGCCCATGTCGTGCACTAAATTTGTGCTTAGCATGCTCTTACTTTTTAACCCCAGCTTATTGATTACCGCCGCTATCTAGCGCAATGGCATTCTACCAGTTAAGCCAAATGCCATTTAAAGCACCGAACTTTTAGTTAGTAGTTTATGTCATCATCTCTAAAGGAAACCGAGAAGTGTTCTTGTCTTCTTGCTTTACGGTTCAATATATCACGCAATGCCACAATTATGGACCAAATTAGAAAGTTTGTCAATTTCCCGCTAATTTGTACCAACTTATGTAACTCTATAGACCTACAAATGCCAAGTACTTAAGGAAATTTCCCAACGCTACAGTCTTTCACCTCTAAAGTGTAAATATACATAAATGATGAAGCTAGTACTATACCAACTAGTACGAGGGCACTGGGACCTGAGAGAGAAGAAAACTCCCCAATTTCATTAATAGTTGGGACTTAGCAAGGAAGGAACCCACCGACTTGTCGATTTTGAAATAAGCTTCACCAACGACAAAATATCTTTTGTCCAACAAGACAGAACAAATTACCAAATTTGAATTAGCCCTAACCCAATTCACATTTTTACAACTAAACCAGAATAAAGACAAATATACAGAAGGCCAGCCAGTATGACGTGAATTCACACAAATCGCCAAACAAACTCTAAAAAAAAAAAAAAAAAGGCCACGCTTTGAACTTCAAGAACTCAATTGCAGTAAATTCGAAACTCGAAACGTTTTAAGAGAAAGAAACGGTGATACTGATTAATGAAGGCGAACCTGGTTGACGAGCTGGTGAGGGTGAAGGAGAGGATCGGTGAGGGAGCGGGCGCGAGAGCTAGAGCTGCGGGGCAAGACGTTGGCGGACTTTTTGGAGGAGGAATTGGGAGGGTAGCGAAGAGAGGCGGAACGATCGAAGGGGAGAGAGCCGTTCTGCTGGAAGAGAATGGCGGCGGCGAGTGCCTGCTCGTAGCGTCGTCGAGCTTCTCCTTCCTCGACGATCGGATCCGTGACCACCGGTTGCTCGCGTTCGACAGCGGCGGCGGGTTCGGGAGGCGCTTCGTCTGCGGCTTCTTCTTCACTGATTTGGGCGCGAGGCAGGCGCACAGGTTGCCCATCTGTGGCTGCGCATGTATAGAGAGAGAGAGAGAGAGAGAGGAATAAGGTGACGCAGTTGAGGAAAGACAGGAGACTCACGGGGAAGGGAGGGGTTTATATATGCGTTGTTGTGTTCTTATACGTACTAGAGAGAGATATGAGTGTGAAAATGGGAAACAATCAAACAAATAAGAGAAGTTTCTCCGACGGTTTGTTGTATAAGTCGTATTAAAATTACGTTAGTTAGATTGAAAAAAAAATAAAATAAACAGATTTTAGTACATATTTAATTATTAAAAAATTTGTGATTATTAATAATTCATTTTATCATGAATTATCAAAAAAACTCTTTATAGTATTTATTTCACTTTATTAAAAATTAACGGTCAAGTGTCAACTTTAATCCCGCTTAAAAATCGGTACATAAATAAATAATTATTACTTAATTTGTTACTTTTTTTTTGGTGAATCACTTTAATTTGTTACTTAGATCTTGCTTGTGAGAATTATGTGATATTGTAACATGATATTTGCATTTTTTTTAAGAGGGTTTTTGAATCATTAGAATGTTATCGGATTATCATTTTATGTTAGATTTTATTGTTTGAGTTTGACAAAAGAAATGTCGTTACCTCAAAGTGAGAAATATTAATATTATTCTTTCTGTTATTTTTTTGTCACTCTTTATATTTACTGTTTTGAAAGTGTTTGAGATAAGATCGTGCAAATACAATATATTGGATTTTATTGTCATCTTAGGATATACAAACAATCTAACTATCCAAGGCCAACGAATGTACTACTGCGGAAGCAAGAAATAATACTAAGATATAAAAATCTTCAGTAATTGTGTGGATTGATGGAAAGTTAGAACTCAAGTTAGTATTAATCTGATATATAGTTGACAGCTTCTTATTCACGTCTTTGTCTATTAAAATAATTAGTTATCTACCCCTTAAGCATGCAATTGATTATTTTTCCCGTTTAATCGCCCATTTGTTGTGGAATGAAATGTTGGATATAATATACATAATATTACTATGAAGGTTCCTTGTTGCTTATTTTGATCTTACAATACGCCCCACAAAAGATCTAAAAGCGCCATTTTTATGTCTCGTCGTACCATCTAACGTTGACTCTCCTCTTATCATAATCTGTTATTCTGAATAGGAAAGAAATTTCAACACCGCTTAAAACTAGGCTCAAAATTTAAAATCATGTCGGTTTAATTATTTAATTTCATATTTGAGCACACTACAAAAGTCCAACGACAAGAGGCGAATTTTAACATTTTGGTCAGCATTTATATCAATTTGCTTTTTAGTTAGTAGGTTGCTGATTTTGTTGTTATTTTTTTCTTTCATTCTGTCCAACCATTTAAGCATTTTGCAGGTGTTAGATGTTAAATGGAAAAGGTTATAAATTTGTGGTCCACCTCAATATTCCTCAACTAATTTTATTGCTGTTTTTTTTCCCAAAGTGAATTAATTATCAATTGTTTCGTCCCCAAGAGGACCACACCGCCTCTTTTTTTAAGTGTAAAGGGGATTTGGAAAGAAGGCATCTTTTTACCGTTAGTGGATGTCTTTTAGTAAGATTTAATTAGGCTGCCAAATAACTTCTTAAAACATTTCCTTAATGGTTGATGAGATTTACATACATTGCATTCAATATAAAAAGGGGAATATATTCTCCCCCCCAACCATGTCAAAGTTAACAACACTTTTTTCACCAAAAATAGAACAAGAGCTGTTGTATTCAGTATATACATATTCACTAACGTAAACCTGCAAAGTGCAAACTAATCTTTTTGTTGAAGGTTATATATATACGTACGTGTTTCTTTGTGAAAAATGAAAGGCAAAAAGGAGGGGGAAAAAAAAGAAAAAAAAAAAAAAGAAGCCCAGCGGATATGAGGGGCAGGTGGGATGTATTACATGATAGCATAACTTTTTGTAGACTTTGTTAGCAGAAGTCATAAATTTCATGAGAAACATGAAAGGAATTAGGTGGGAAGAATACCATTTACTATAAAAGCTAGCTTTCTAAATTCTAGGCCAATTATCATTATATGCATGCATAACCACAAGTTTTTAGAGCCAATGACGGTTTGTGAGACCACTTGAACTATAAGGACTTTTATTTGCTAGCATTCATGTTACAAGATTTCTCTTGGTCAAAAAAAAAAAAAAAAAAAAATCTCCAACGTAAACACAAATGACAATATCATATTTGACACAAAATATTATTACATTTTAATGTCGATCAAGTAGATACTTTATATATGTCGAGGTAATTATTTAAATAAAAAAATTGTGATTGTTTCCTTGGATCCGGGTGCAGCTAGCACCGCACCCAAATTTAAGCATGACGCTCTGTCAGCGTCGCACCCAATTTAGGCGTGTCCCCCATTCCTCTTCGTGTCAGATCTAGGAGGTGTCTTCCCATTCGCCATCTAGCCAGATTTGGGTGCCGCTCTGATCTCCATCGAAGATCCCTTGTTGTCGCTCTACAAATTATTTGAACATCGATTACAGAGATATGTATTGAACATTTTATTGTATTGAATATAAAATACGCATTTAATATGTGTTATTAGACACTCAAATGTATAATGCAAGTAAAAATGAAAATTTTTTAATTTTTGAAATAGCTAAAATGGAAATTGTAATTATTATGTGAAAAAATCAACAAATGTCAATAAATAAATAGCTAAAATTTCGTATAAATTATGTTTGGTGTCAAACCAAATCTTGCACAAAGTATAAAATATGTCAAGTTTGACATAATGTATCACTTTTGGATTATTTTTAATTTCAAATTTAGATGTCAAATTTTGGCATTGAGAGCGAAATTTGCCATTGCATTCAAATTTGAATCTTTAATATAAAATTGAATGCGTGGGGGGTGGTGGAAAGCTACAAGTTTGAAGTTTCCTACTTTTAGTGCCCACCCAAAACTATAAGTTTCATATCTCACTTCCCAACTGTGCATTTCATATATCATCAATTCCCCGTTCTACCCTTAATAATAATAAATAAATAAATAAATCCTCCTTCTCTCTCTTACCCTATCATTTCTTTATCTTGATGATTGCGTTTGCAAATATTGATTTTGCAGTGTTGCTCTACCAGGAACTTCTTGTTTAAATCAATTGAAAAAAAAAAAAGAAAGGAAAAAACTAGCTATGTAATTTTCTCCTTGAAATTAATTACTTGGCAATGAATTTTTATATTGTCATTTGCGTCAATGTGCAACAGGAATAATCATGAAAAAGACACAGAACATTTAGATTTACCATATTGCATCTCATATTTATTTCATATATAAGGAGACAATATCGACTTTGTTTCTCTCTAGAAGCAAACAGATCATATATTACATATCAAAGCATATGTGGGATGCTTCAGTCAGCAAAAGAGCAAAATATATATACAGAATTAGTTACCAAGAACACACACACACACACAGAGTTTGTGGAAAAAAGCATGTGGGAGTACAATCATTTCATGCATGATAAGCACAGGATCCCAGTGATCCTTCTGCAAAGCAACACGTTGCAAGGAACTTTGCCATGCTCGGAAGCTTTTGAAGATTTTATCACAACTTGAACTGAAATATACCTATATATATACCTATATATATAATGTCATATATATTGGTTGACCAAAAAGAGAAAAATAAAGTTGATCACCCATCGTCAGTGATATTGTAAAGCACTCAATGACTCACCTCTCTAAGTACTGATATACAGTTTAGCAGATTTCTTTTATATATCTTATACATGGGATGACTTCATGATTGTTTCAGTTGTTTAATGTTACCCCAATTTACGGAACGTGTGCCTCACCAAAGCCATATGCTTCTTTTCTGCTTCAGCTGCCATTTTGACCGGTGGTCCAAAAACTTTTTCAAATAGATCCTCATAGTTTTTTGAGAATTAAAGCTGAACTGTGTTATACATTCATGCATCAATTGGAAATCATAGTATGTCATGCTTCTAAAGCAGGTTTAAATGGGCTGGCAGTGGAAAATGCTCTAAAAAGGTTTTCCTAGAGTTGGACTATTAGGCTGCTATCGTTAATCATTCTGACTAAGAATGACTGAGTAGTCTCTAAATAAAGTTTTACGATTAAAGATGCACCAACGATGCTTAATTTTAAGTTTTAACTGCTGTTTCTTTTTGGTTTAATTTGCTCGTGCAATATTATATAGAAGGGTTTTTAAGGCAAAAACGTATTCATTAATGATTTTTAATCATCGCAAATTTACATGTAATTCGGAGAGCCGTAAATTATCATGCCAAAACATATAGATGCATTTTATATATAACAATAACTTTTAATTAAATGAAAAAATCGGTGATACTTATAATTATTTGTTGATATTTACCCTCTTGCAACGTCTTTAAATGCCATCTCAACAAATATAAACGAATAAACAAAATCGCCCTAAAAATACTGTATGACTATACGAACCAGTGTTGGTCATCTTCTGTCGCTCTCTCTCTCTCTTCTTTCTTTATTTTTTTTTTGGTAAAGAACATCATCACTATCATAGTTAAATTACACAACTAATCAGATCGTGACACGTGGCACATCTACCTATGGGAGGGTGTGCCATACGTCCACTCCCTGGGGTGCACCATACAATAATGTGATCAAACCCTAGTTAATTAAAATGCCTTCTTTTAAATTATATATGAGAGCCGTTTATTTCTACAGCATATGAAGGAGCCTAAAATGCTGCACATCATGCAATTTTTCTTAAAGGAGAGTGAGAGAAATAACCTATTTGATAGAATGTTTAGTAAATTATAGCATTTTTTTTAAATAGTATATTGTAGTAAAATTTGATAATTTAAGTTTTAAATATTATTAGAAACTCATAAATACTTCTAAATCTCCTTTTTCACCCCATTCATTTCTTTTAAACATCTATTTTTTTTTAAAAAATAATAAATTATAACATATTTTTAAAAATAGGTAGATTATACTCAAGTCCATGGCTGACTCTGATGACCAGCGGCCGGCTCTGACGACCATTTTCCGACAGGCGAGACGACAATCATTTTTCTAATGACCGTTTAATTGTATTTACTGATAAATACAATATTTACTCTAAAAATCTAACCACCGACTTCGGAGATTGGCTATCATTTTCTGGCGGTCAGGGCCGACAATCGTTTTTCTGATGACTTTTTTGGCGGCCGTTTAATTGTATTTACCGTTAAATACAATATTTACTACTAAATATCATATTTATCTAAAAATCCAACCATCGACTCCTGTGACCATTTAACACTATATTTATCAGTAAATACCGTATTTACTAGTAAATATTATATTTATCCAGAAATTTGGGCACCAACTCCGATGACCGTTAAACACTGTATTTATCAATAAATACCGTATTTATTAATATCATATTTATCTGAAAATTCAGGCACCGACTCTGACGATCGTTTGACACTGTATTTACCAGTAAATATCATATTTACTGGTAAATACTGTATTTATCTGAAAATTTAGCCATCGACGTTTAACACTGTATTTCTAGTAAATACCGTATGTACCTGGTAAATACCGCATTTATCTGAAAATCTAGCAACTGACTCCAACAACCATTTAATATTATTTACCAGTAAATACCATATTTACCGATAACTATAGTATTTATTAGTATCATATTTATCTAAAATTTTGGCCACCGACTCTGACGACCGTTTAACACCGTATTTACCAATAAATATCGTATTTACTAGTAAATATTAAATCTATGTAAAAAACTAGCTACCAACTCAAATGATATTTAGCGGTAAATATCTTATTTACAAATCTCATATTCACAAAAAAAAAAAAAAAAAAAAAAAAAATCCACCAAAACCAAAATCTCCCATTATAGAATTCAAAAACACTCGAATAAAACATATTTACTGATAAATCCAAAAAGTAAATCCCATCAAAATAGAGTTCCAAACGTGTAAACAAATGCAAAATCATAAAAATTAGATCTACACAAAATATCAAACTCATATAAGCAAAAATCATAACCACATATCTACACAAAATCACAATTAGATGTTAAAAATACACTCCTATCACAAACTTCCTTCTCAAAAAAAAAAAAATCTAAAATCCAACCAGAGCCAAAACAGACGCAACGGATTCTCGCTCAACGTTACCTCTCCCATTTTCTCACACTCGAAACCAGCACCGTCCATAATCTTCCCAGCTTCGTCGGCGCCGCCTCATCCTAGCAGAACGACACTCTCTGATTGGCATCTACTTTGATGACAACAATGTCTGGCTTAAGTTCCAAAACCACAACAGCTCTGCATTCAACTTAGCCCATCGTGACAAATATCTGAGAGACAAAGAGCAGATCCACGCGAGAGAGAGAATGACGTTGTAATGCCGGCGACGGGTTAGAGAGAGAAGAAAGCCGATAGATCCGTGAAATATAGCCGATCAACGGAGAGATAAAGTAGATCATGAGGAGATAGAGAAGTAGAGAGAGAGATCGAGAGGATAGATAGAGAAATCTGCGGGAGAGAGAGATAGAGAGAGATGTCAGATGTGGTGAGAGAGATCGGGAGGAGTGAAGGAGAGAGACGAGAAGAAGAGAGAATAGGAAAGAAATATTAGATGGTGTTATTTTAGGTATTACACTAATTATTTTTGTTGACATGCTGTTAATTATCAACATTTAAAAAATATGCTAAAAACTTCAATCATATATATGGAATATGCTATTTATTGTATTTTTCCTTTTCTTAATTATTTGTTTTCGAAGCCCACAAAAATGACCTTACTTACCAGGAAAGTTTCACCCCCTAAGATATACCTTATTTTTTTGTGGCCTGGACAATTAGAAAACCTGTATCTAAAAGTTAATTTTTTTAACGGTTAAATTTGTATATTTTTTAATTTTTACGTAATTTTATATAAATTTAACGGATAAAAAACATAACATATATGTGGAGCACCGAAGAATGTTCCTTTTTATAATAATTTGAATTCTTAGCCAAGGATCAAGTTTGGAGGGAAAAGTTCGTCCATATAGACAAATTTCTTTGGATTTTGACATCATTTTACTGTTTGGGATGCGAGGAGTTTTGTCTCTCAGATAATGAGAAGATTCTGAAATTGGGTCTTGCGTCCACAATAAAGGCCCGTTAACATCTTGGATAGGAATATTGGGTTTGGGCGTTCGGAATGTAGAAACAGAGTCCATAATTAATTAAAACGGCACCGTATGATGCTCACAAACAGCACAACGCCACAACTTGCTTAAAGTGGGCCGACCACCAAAAGTAGACAAAATCTCGGAGCAAACTGCCGCTGCTGGTGGTGGTGGTGGTTTCGTCGTTTCGATACCCCGAGTCGTGACGTCCGAGCTTTCCCAATAAAATTCACCGCCGTACGCTCTTCATCTACCTAAGAATCTTTTTGCAAAGTCAAACGTCTAATCCATTCATTGTTCATTCCTCGGAGAACACATCTGAAGGTGAAAGGTCAAAACTCTCTCTCTCTCTCTCTCTATAAATCAATGTTTCTCCTTTTTTTTTTTTTTTTTTTTTTTTTTTTTTTTGAGTTTGGAAAAACCACCATTTTTTC